GCAGATTGCAGAATCACGTCGGTTACACATCCACAATTTTACATAATGCCCAATTAGTAATTGTTGTATTCTGCTACCTTTCCTATCCCCTACTATCTGTGGACCCTTTATAAGGGCACTAATCCCATTCATAAGGGCTGCACCCTCATGATCTAATCACCCCTACAAACCCACACCTCCTAGTACCAAGATATTGAGGATTACAGTCTATATTTGAATCTGATAGGAAGAGAACACAAATATTCAGACCATAACAACCGAGATATATTTCCTTTTGCCCAAGTCAGCTATATTCCCTACTGGCCTGAATCCTGGAAAGATAACCTGAGATGGAGCTATAGGTGACCCACAATACCCATATATAGTGAGAAATAGACCTTTGGTGTTTTAAGCTCCTGAGACTTCAGGGTCCTTTATTACTTCAGCTTATCCTGACGGAGCATATTTGGTGTTTTCTTCCTCTGTGATGCTGCCCAACTCTCTTCTCCCACCTGATCATTGTATCAACTCCATGCCTTAATATTTCCCAAATCCATGTTTTGAGCCACAGTCCTTACCATGTATTTGGCCTGCTAGTACCTCAAACACAGCATGCACAGAACTGAACTCACTGTTTTCCTTCCCCTAAGCCTATTTCTTTTTATATCATCCCTTTCTATATCCACAGAACCATCTAGGGAAGTGTGAGATGTCATTGAGGCCATTCTCAAACCCCTCATCCCCCTGGGACTAAGCCTATAATTTCTACTGATGAAATGTCTCTCACTTCTATTTCTCCTTTTCAAGATCCTAGTAGCTAATCTGGCTTCCAATTTGTCGCCTCAATGCCTACAAATGCTTCTCATCTGGTCTCCCTGTCTTTTGTCTCTTTCCTGATCGGTTTATCAATCCTAACCCAGGCAGGCCTGGGATAAGAATATGAATGGAGATCCAAACACTAAATCTCTAAATATTTATAACTTATAAGTCAGTCTAAAAAAATTTTTCTAATCAGAATATATTATGGACTGCTAGCTTGACAAATATAACATCATAACAACCTGGAAGCCCAGATTCAAATTTAAAATGTTTAGATTCTTCTGAGTTACGTAATGGAGCATGTCAGCATGAGAGAGCTGGCTTTGGTCTCCAGCCCACTACCCACACCCGCTTCTCTTCTCATACCCAGCTCCATCCCATAATGGAAAAGGCCTTGTACACACAGTGAGAATTCTAAGCTAGCATGTGTAAGATTCATTCTCATTCCATACAAACAACCAAGCTTTGGCCACCCCTAAGCTTTGGACAGTTTGCCGACAGCACAGTCTACCCTTAGGATAAAGGACCAGGGCAGATAATGATTTGTGCCATGGAAACAGGTTTGTAACCACATGTGAAGGGAATTCTAGGATCCTGGACACACCAAGCAAGCTCTAAAGGGCAGGATACAGGCTTAGGTGCTTATCTCCTTGTAACTCATGGGAGGAAACAGAAGAAGTGATACTCTAGGACTCTAGAATGATACTCTTGCCCTATGAGTCAGGGTATGACTGGAAGTGAGTCATAGTAGGTCTTTTCTGGAGGTGGGTGAGTCCCAGAAAGGGTGCTTTTCTCCTGGATCTAAGAGGGAGTCCGTAATTCATAATTGTGATCAACATTTATTGAGGATGCCTGATGTGCTAAACATTGTTCTAAGTTCTT